GAAGACTCATTCACAACCTGCAATATGTAGATGATACAACCTTGCTTGCTGAAAGTGAAGAGGACTTAAAATACTTACTGGTGAAGATCAAAGACCATAGCCTATGGTATGGATTGCATCTCAATGTAAAGAAAACAAAAATCTTCAACACTGGACCAACAAAAAAAACATGCTTATCAATGGAGAAAAGATGCAAGTTGTCAAAGACTTCATTCTTCTTGGATCAACCATCAACACTCACCGAAACAGCAGCCAAGAAATCAAATGATGTACTGCATTAGGCAAATCTGCTACACAAGACCTTTTTAAAGTGTTGAAGAGCAAAAATGTCAGTTTGAGGACTAAGGTACTCCTGACCCAAGCCATGGTATTTTGAATAACCTCATATGCATGCAAAATTTGGACAATGAATAAGGAAGATTGTAGAAGAATGGATGTTTTTGAGTTATGGTGTTGGCGGAGAATATTGAAAGTACCATGGGCTGCCAAAAGAACAAACAGATCTGTGTTGGAAGAAGTACAGTCAGAGGGCTCCTTGGAGGTCAGGATGGCCAGACTTCATCTTCTCATACTTCAGAAATATTGTCAGGAGGGACCAGTCACTGGAGAAGGATATCATGTTTGGTAAGGTGGAGGGTCAGAAATAAAAAGGAAAACACCCAGAGAGAAGGATTGGCAAAGTGGCATCATCAATGAGCTTAAGCGTGGCAACAATTGTGAGGTTGGCCCAGGACCGGGCAGTGTTTCTTTTTGTTGTTCATAGGATCGCTGTGAGTTGGTACTGATTTAATAGCACCTAACAACAACAGCAACAACAATTTCACACAAGAGATCATATGCAACAAAACTCACCAGCTTGAGTTTACAGTAAAGTAAGAGATAAAGAAGTACATCAGGATCTTAAATGGTAGCGAGAAAAGCTAATTTCTACCAAAGATAATCCTGAAATCTCGTTTCTGGTTTACAGATCTATTGTGATTAATCCAGGAATAGAGTAAATAAATATAAATTTAAAAAGTAAAAATATATATTACCTCTTTACTTCTCTGTATGTAGGGGAGCTGGATAGCTGGATAGCTGAAGACAAGGGAAGTGGTTAGACTTCAATACCTCTTCTCAAAATAGATGTATTTTAGCAAGACCACAAAGGGACAGCTACTGTATGAGACCATTACTGTAAAAAGGTGAGGAAAGGTTTTCATTCTATAATAAGCATTCTATGATGGCTACCAGGGGTTGGAGGAAAGGAATAAGAATTATTTACTAGGTAGAGTGTTGCTGTTATGTACCATCTAGTCAGTTCTGATTCACAGCAGCATTGAATAGGGTTTCCAAGGAGCGGCTGGGGGTTTGTTTGAGCAGCTTTCCTTACAGTTCAAGATGACCTTGCAGTCCAGTACATTATCCTGCAGCACAACACCAGGACTCCAGGTAGAATGGAGACACGTGCTAACTTGGGTGATGGGGAAGGCAATTAAAAAGAAAAGGAAGGAAAACAGAATTTTTTTTTTTTCCCCAAAAGGAATATGGTTTCTGGAAGGGAAACAATGTATGTTTATTTTCTCATTAGGACAAACCATTGGGAAATTTTTCACAAATTAAAAAAGGGAAAAGAAATAAGGAAAGTAAAAGAAAGAAAGAGTTTTAAAAAAAGATTTGGAAAAAGACAGTGGTGATGGTTGTGTAACATGGGGTATGTGGTTGGTGTGGAGGGACTGTACATGTAAAAATGGTTGAAATGGCAAATGTTTTGTTATATGTATATTGCTACAATAAAATAATAACAGTAATAAAGACAGGGCTTACTGATCAGATACTGAACTTACCCCTCGAGCTCCATTTTCAGCCAAGCAGTAGATAGGTATGTAGGGGAGATGAAAACACCAGTGATGTGTACACACCACAGAATGGTCAGCCATTCAACATTATAGGGCAGTATTTACCTAAGGACAAATTCAGAAAGGTGGAGACAGAAGAAAGAAAGGAAACAAAAAACAGAGAGAGGAAGTGGGATAGTGCCATTATATTGAGGGGATTGAAACTAAGATGAAATGAAGTATATGATTTACTGAATGTGAAACTGATGATCTGCTCAGTAAACCTTTACTCAATTCACAATAAAAGTTTTAAAAATGGATGCAGCAATGTTTTTCTTTTTGACTTTCAGGTAAGTAGTCTTGTTTTCAGACTTATGGATGAAGGAGTGTCTAACTAAGAATTGTCTACTAATTAATCTTAGATTGTTAAGGACGATTTTGAGACATACAGATAGATCATAGAAACCATGTGCTTCACTACCAGTCACTCAGTGCCTGGAACTGTACACCCTCGATCAACTACCCAGAAGCAACAGAGCTCTCTAACTCACCGAAGACCCTGAAGAAAGTACAGACTACACAAGAACGCAATGGTTCTGTAGGATAAGCACTGGATTGGGAACCATAAAGTCAGTGGTTTAAGTCCACCAACCACTCTGTGAGAAAAACATGAGACTTTCTGCTTTACGTTCTTGGAAACCCTATACAGGGTGGCTATGAGTCAGAATTGACTAATTGGCACTTAACAACAACAACATGCAAGAATTAATAAACATGCTCAGTATCTATGAGTTTAAACTATGTACAACTAGCAGAAATTATTAAGATGGTAAATTGAATTATTCAAGGAAAACTACAAATTTAGTTTTAGACTGAAGTCGACCAACTTTTTCTGTAAAGGGACAGATAATCAATGTTTTAGGTTTTCTGGGTCATATGGTGTCTGCCATAACTACTCAACTCTATCACTGTAGTATGAAAGTTTTTGTTGTTATTGTTAAGTGCCGTCAACTTGGTTCCGACCCATAGTAACCCTGTATACGGTTTCCAAGGAGCAGCTGGTGAGCCTGAACCACCGAACATGCGATTCAAATAGACTTTGCAGTCCAGTGCATTAACCCACAGCGCCACACCAGGACTCCCAGAGATAATATGTAAGTGAGCAAGTGTGGCTGTGTTCCAATAAACTTTATTTACAAAAACAGGCACCAGGCCAGACCTGGCCTATGGACTCTCACAGTAACATGCATCAGAATCACCTGTGAACTAGTTTTACAGATCATCCAGCCAACTCCCTGCCATTGCATTGATTCTGACTCACAGCAACCATACAGGACAGAATAGAAAGGCATTGTCAGTTTTCAGAGACTCCTGTAGAGACAGGAGCAGACAGCCTCATCTTTCTCCCTCATTGTGGCCAGTGGTTTTGAACCACCAACCTTGATGTTAGCAACCCAACTCTTAACCCACTATGCCACCAGGTTTCCTTAGTTATAAATATCAACCTATGTTATTGGATATATTGAGGCTGGGGAGTCCTGGTGTGGCACTGTGGGTTAGTGCACTGGACTGCAAAGTCGGTTTGAACCGCAAGGCTGGAGGACTTACATAGACTATTGCCTTCCATTATATATTTAACCTTAAATCACATGAATCAAAACTAACACCTGAAGTCACCTTTAAGCTAAGTAAAAGTTTAGCTACAAAACTAAAGATGCTCACCTTAAAGTATTGTTCTCTAAAATAAATTACCTGTATGTAATAGACCAAATGGACAACTATTTAAAATCATAGAAGGTTGGGGAGCAGGGAGTTTAAGGGAGTCAAATAATTAGAACAGAAATAATAAAAATATTGACACAATGTGGAAAATGTCACCAGTTTCACTGATTAGTATGTCTAGAAACTGAACGGGGAAGGTTTTTCTGTGTATAGTTTCACCCAAAATAAAATAAATATTTTTTTAAAAGGTGAGGCCATTTGCCTAGTATATAATCACCCACCCTACAGAATCAGAATTTCTAGGGATGAGACCTGGGAATCAGTAATTTAATAAGGTAGGTCCACAAGTGGTCTATAAACTGCATTCTGAAAAACATTGTGGTATGCAACTAGCTACATGTAAACTGGGGTGGCCCTACTGTCCTAGATGTGGGCTGGCACTTCCTGCATCCTGCAACAGTTAAAATATAGTAACTGTTTTTATCTTTCTCTGACCTTTCAAGTATAAGGACATACAAGCAAACTGCTATTTTTACCTCCCACCCTCTAAAATTTTGTTCAGGTGAAATTTTAGGTATGAATTTAAAAGGAAATCCTCAACTTAATATAATAAGTTTTTCACAATAGAAATCTCCCTGAAATTCTTTAGAGTGAAACATCAGTAGACAAGATTCTTACCAATAGATCTAAATCTAAGGAATAGTTTCCTGTGTCCCACTTTCCCTCCCAAATATCTCTAGCAAAGGCCTGCCCTGTTGCTTGGAATTCCACTATTAACAAGTCATTACTTAGTGTCTTGAGGTTTTTACATCAGTGTTGTTTTGGTGAAGTGCCATCGAGTTGGTTCTGACTCATAATGATCCTGTATAGGGTTTCCGAGGAGTGGCTGGTGGGTTTGAACTGACGACCTGTGGTTAGCAGTCTAGTTCTTATCCTACAGCACCACACCAGGATTCCTTAAATAGGGCCTATTAAAATTCATTTCAAACCAGAAAGTGTAAACTCTCTGCAGGCTTCTGAGAACTGTTCCCAACCTTAACAACCAGTATAAATTATGTACAAATGAAGAAAGTGGTTCTTTTTTTAAAAAAAAAACTTTTATTGTGAATTAGTTTACAGAGCAGATCATTTTTACATTCAACAAATTACATACTTTTCTTCATTACAATGATTACAATCCCCTCCATGTATTAACAGCTATAGTGTTTACCTCTATTCACCGTAACTATTGCATTCCTTCCTGTATCTCCCTCTACCTTTGTCCTTCCTCTGCTAACCTCCCTCTTGCTGTATATTACCTACCCTGTCACCCATGTTAACATGTGTCTACCCTCTAGCCTGTGAATAATACCCCCCTTTTTAAAAAAAAATTCTTAATTTGTCTGTTTTAATTGTCAGAAATCAGTCACCAGATCATTCAAAGAGGCAGTGATGTTTAGGTTGGGGAATAGCTTCACCTCTTCAGCTATCCAGATTTTCCTAGAAAGAACAGTGAAAATGCAACAGTCAAAGGGATTGTCTTCAGTAATGTCCTAAAGAAACCAGGACATGATTTGCACATACCTCCAAGAAAATGCTACTTTTACTAAGGCTCCTACTGATCCCAGAAGTGGAAGGGAATGCTTTGCCCAGGGTCTATGACATGAATGTTCTAATGATTACCAAGACATGAGCTTAGACTACCTACTATAGTTATCACTACAGCCGACTAGACCAATTATTTTTTGTTCGATAATATTAAGATGACTCTGGACTCCCTCAAAACATACCCAAAATATTAGGGAAAGAAAACCCAGAAATTTACTAGGGAGTAGAGTGAAGTCAGACTGAGATTAGAACTCCATCATCAATCATACTCTATACATGATTGTGTGTGAAAAGTAGAGATCAGCTTTACAAAGCCAGCAGTAAATGTTTTAGGCAGAATGACTCTGAAGTCCAACCACACTGGCTGAGCTTCTGTTTCCCGTTTAACATGTTGCCATAGGTTGAATTGTGGCCCACAAAAATATATGTCCACATGACTAGGTTGTGACTAGGTCAAAAATCGTCCATTTTGTGTAATGAGGCAAGATTAGCGTGCAGTGTTGTTGTTGTTGTTAAGTGCCGTTGAGTCGGTTCCGACCCATAGAGACCCTGTACAGGGTTTCCGAGGGTGTAAATCTTTGCGGGAGTAGAAAGCCTCATCCTTCTCCCACGGAGCGGCTGGTAGTTTCGAACCGCTGACTTTAAGGTTCGCAGCCCGATTCGTAACCACTACGCTACCAGAGTGTGCAGTGTGTCACAGCTTTATTCCCTTGCTGTAATCACACCTCATATTTCACAAGAGACAAGAGGAGAGAGCAGAGGAAGAGTGGCCTCACTAACATCAAGAATGAAGAACCAGAAGAGGAGTGTATCCTTTGGTGTATCCTGGGTTTTCCCTACTGTGAGACCCTCCTAGACTCAAGAGAAGACTGATGCCAAGACACAGAGAGGTCTCCAAGGCACACAGAGATCACATATGTTGAAAGGAGACAAGGGCTTTCTACTAGAGCCAACAGACAGAAAGCCTTCCCATAAAGCTGGATTCCTAAATTTGGACTTCTAGTCTCCTAAATTAAGAGAATAACTTTCTGTTTATTAAAACTACCCACTTGATAACTATGACACAAAGCAAGAAAATCCAGACCTTTCAACCAAGTAAGAAAGCCTGTTATTCTACATGGTTTCCAACTTACAAAGAGTCATGAGTTGAAGCTCAAAGGTATTAGTATAAAAATAATTCAAATACTTAAGAAAACCAGGAGCCCCAATATACTTACCCAACCTCCTTGGCTCTGGATGAACTCCCGGATGGCACTGTTTCCATTGATCATATTTATCACAGGGATGGCCATGTCCCTGGCTATTTTGGGGGCCACGTGGACCACACTCTCGAGAAGTTTCACTGACACTGCTAAAAATGCTCTCTCATAAGCTAAGCTGGGATCCTGAGCACACCAGGTCATACTGAGAGATTTCACTGTGTCCTTGAGTAGAGCTTCTCCCTGGGGAGAAACACAGTGGAGTATCACTCATGAAGTCAGGATGATGCTATAGTAAAGCAAGAGTTCCCCAAAGAGTGGTAGGTAAATGTACAACTGGCTTAATCTTAGTAGGTACATGGATAGACTTCTCATCTTAATACTTTGTTTTTGACTTTATTACCTATTTGTATTTACTCATTTTTTAATGTAGTAACTTATTTTAATGGATAGAAAAATATATAAGTAGTCCATCAAACCTGTGATGTCAGATATCATTGCTTAGGATGAACAAAATGATTTTAAAAAGTAGCTGAAAGAAAAACATTGAGTATAATACTGATGATGGTTGCACACCATCATTATGACTCATTATGATGCACATGTTCATCACAATGCACATGTGAAAACATTACAGTGGAAAATCTTTCCTTATATAGAAATATCAACTAGATGAAAACTACCTGCATGTGAAAGTTGTATAATGAATAAGGCAGATTGTAGAACTGATGCATTTGAATTGTGCTGTTGGAGAAAAATATTGAAAATACTATGGACTGCCATGAGTCCTGGTGTGGCGCTGTAGGATCACAAGGTTGGTGACTCAAACTCACCAGCCGCTCCTCAGGAACCCTATACAGCATCTCTATGAGTCAGAACAGACTCAACAGCACTTAACAACAACAACAACGTGGACTTCTAGAGGGACAAACAAATCTGTGTTGGAAGAAGTACAACTGAATGCTCCTTAGAAGTGAGGAAGGCAAGACTTCATCTCCCATACTTTGGACATGTTATCAGGAGGGACCAGTCCCTGGAGAAGGACATTCTGCTTGGTAAAGTGGAGGGTCAGCAAAAGAGAGGAAGACCCCCTATGAGATGTATTGACACAGTGGCAGCAGCGATGGGCTGAAACGTAACAATTGTGAGGATGGCATAGAACCAGGCAGTGTTTTGTTCTGTTGTGCATAGGGTTATGAGTCAGGACCAACTCAATGGTGCCTACTAACAACATGGTAGTTCAACTGATCAAATTGTAAAGGTATTTTTTGAATGATTCAAATCTGGGAAGCTCTAAACTATAAAATTATTTAGTTTTTCCTCTTCTTTTACCCTTCCTAAAAAAATCAGTCTAAAATCCATTAGGAGTATAGTCAGCTGGGATATAAAGAGTCCACATTGGTTAGAGTAGGTGTCAAAGCCCAAGAAGGGCAGTCACATGGGAGAGCACCTACATCTTGGTTTCTAAAAAAATAAATAAATAAACCAGGGATCCCTGGAGAAATGGTAAATTCCAGGGCTGGGGTATGGAAAGTCAAGATCTTGTGATCTTGTATCAGAAAGCAAGGAAGTACTCACAGAATAATAGAGACAAGTAAAAACTACAGAGTACAGATTACAGGGATTTCCATTGTCCAAATCTGGAGTAATTTGAGCATCTAAATCAGGGGTGGGGAGTGTCCAGTCCACAGGCCATATAAGGCCAGCAAAATCATTTGGTCTAACCCTGCCAAGGCAACCACAGTTCTAGCCATCACATTGTTGTTGTTGTTGTTAAGTGCCGTCGAGTCACTTCTGACCCATAGCAACCCTGTATAAGGTTTCTGAGGAGTGACTGGTGAGCTTGAACTGCCAACCTTGCAGTCTGACCCACTAACCCACAGCACCACACCCATACTCCACATTAGGGATGAGCTAACTAAATGTTTGACCAAATATAGAAGGCTGAATTATAAGTTGATAATTTTGTGTGCCTGAGAATGATGTTATAAATTTTGGTAGAAAAATGGATCCCCACCTCTGATCTAAATAAATAATGCTACCAAGAGATTATAAACTATTGCACGAGGCATAAATTCATAAATATAAAATAATACTTAAAATAAAATAAGTGAATAAATTGAAATTCTGATGAGATAGGAGATGTTTAAATAGTTTCAGAGAACCTATCTTTTAAATATTTACTAATTACAAAGGGAAAAGAATAATTTATACCAGAGAAGCCTGACAGACACCAACATAAGTGATCCAAGTTAACACCAATAATAGGACAAACTGAATTTTTTTGTGACAACTGATAGGATGCAATGACAAGAATACAGAAATATTTCTGTGATATTCCTACCAAAGGTACATATATGAATGGACTTCAGAAAGTTCATGGAAAAAATCCATTATCTTTTTGTTCCATTTTTCCACAAACTTTTAAAGCTCCTTTGTATCTTGAATCTATCCATGAGGAAACATCAAACAAACTCAATGGACAGTCTACATAATAACTAGTTCAAGTGTCAAGATAATGAAAATCAAGGAAATGCAGAAGAACTATTCAACATTGAAAGAGATAAAGGTCTCTTTAGTCTGTACAACTAAGATACAATATATGATTCCAGCCTGGGTCTTTTTGCTCTAAATGCTATTATTGGCACAACTGACAAAACTTGTATAGGCTGTGATGATTGGAAGATAATAATGTATCAGTGATAACTTCCTGGTTTTGATGGTCATCTTGTGGTTATATAAGTGATTCTCCTTGTTTGAAGGAAATACATGGGGGTGATGGAACATCATGTTGGCTGTTTACTCTCAAATAACTTAGGAGAGAAAATGGTACTTACTATATTTGCACCTTTTCTGAGTTTGAGACAGTTTCAACATTTTAAAAAATGTGTGTGTGCTGGGGTAGATTCAGTCATCAGCTAACCTAGGGCAACCTCCAAACAAGAAATTGGGACTAACAGGTCCAATTCAACCTAAAGGTAGATAGAGTGGGCACATACCCAAATGATATACAGTAGAACAAATAAAACATGATACTTAAGAGTGTGGTTCTGGAATCAGTCTGGTTCAAATCCTAGCTTTAACACTCACTGAGGGATCTAATCGGGCTGCTAACCTCAAGGTCAGCTAGTTCAAAACTACCAGCGGTTATGTGGGAGAAAGATTAGGCTTTCTGTTCCCATAAAGATTTACAGCCTTGGAAATCCTATACAGGGTCGCTATGAGTTGGAACCGACTCCACGGCACATAACCACCGCCACCAAAGGATATAATTAATTGTTTTCCTGTTTGTCAGTTTCCTTAGGAGTCCTGGGGCACAGTGGTTAAGTTGTACCAGCTACTCCAAGGGAGAAAGATGAGGCTTTCCACTCCCATAAAGATTTATATCCTCGGAACCTTAAAGAGCAGTTCTGCTCTGTCCTATAGAACTTGAGTTTGGTTTGGTTGGTTTTTATAAGGGCTTATTCCTTACTGGAGTCCTGGTGTGGCACAGTAGAATAAGCACTGGACTGCCAATGGCAAGGTCAGCAGTTCAAACCTACCAGCTACTCCTCAGAAACATTATACAGGGTCACTATGAGTCGGAATGCTACAGCACTTAACAACAACATCCTTCATTGCATCAGACTTATCAGTTGCTCATTGTTCCTGCATATGATTTCACTGCTTTACTTGTAGACACTGTGGGCAAAAAAGTGCTCACTCTCAACACACTGGGCTCCTATGCAAAATAAGTACTAAACCAGATACATAAAAGATACTTTGCCAAGAATAAATTGCTATAGGTAGCTATGTTTTATGCCACACAGCACAGAGCTGATGAAAACCAAGTGGTGGCAACTTGAAAGTGGATCAGCCTATGCTAAGAGGTTTTTATCTCAAGTTCACTTAGGTTTTGATGAACTCTTAAAGAACTGACAATTGGCAAATTCCAGCTGTATCTGCGTATATGAATATAATTCCCGAATCTTCCATAAAACAATTCTAATCACAGTAGTATACGAGTAGTAGGAAGATGGAGACTGGAATAAGAAAGTGCAACGAACAATATTAAAGAAGAAAAAAAAAGGAGCTTGACCTGTCCCTGAGTCGTTTCTTTAATGATGCTTCTGGCATGGCGCTCCAATTCTCCATTGAACTGATCACCCAACATCCGAAGGCGGCCAGCAATTATGGCCACATCAAAAGAACAAGGCTCACCTGGGACAGACGGAACACAGTCACAATTGTCACCATCTTTAAATAAATTACTTTGGGGGACATTCTTTAGACTTTTAAAGTACTAGGAATCTGGGCTTTGGAGAATGTTCTCTAGATTTTTAAGCATATTAATAATGTTTTAGAACAACTCCAATGTTCTGTGGATACCAGCAGCCAGAAAAATCTTCCTTCACTGAGAATCTCTCCACCTTCCATGAAGATACCAGGTATCACTGAAAGCTTACACTTTGTCTTCTAAAACTCAAGAGGAAATAAAGAAAGCATACTCAGATTTTCTTGTTGACATTCAACCATCCCCTGAGGCCAGAAAGCTTACCTGAATCTGGTTCATCTTCACAACATAGGCTGCGGTTAGAAACCTGCGATGTTGTGCCCAAGAAGTCTGTGAGCAGAGTGTCCACAATGCATTCTGTTTGCTCCTCAAAAGTTTTAGGGGTCTTCATTACAGATGGGTTTTCCCACAAAACAAGCAGTGTTCTGCTCAGCAGAAGTCAAAAACACTGGTAAACTAGCAGATGTTTCTACCTACTAAAAATTTTCCTAATGGCCAATGAGTCTTTCCCACAAGCTTTCTTAAAAAATATCTGCTTAGAATGGTGAAATTTCTAGGAGAGCTCAACTATACACAGAACTTTCTTTTTGAAGAAACTTAGTTCCTTGCCTCAGAACCACACCCTAGTCAGCACAAAGATTAATGAATAACTTTTATTGTAAGATAGTTGATCAAGAATTGAGGAAAAGCCTCTTGGGTAATTTCATGAAGAAATATTTCCTGGTACATTCTCTGTGTGATGTAATCTAAAAGAAGGGTTTGAAGTTAGACCAGCATTCAAATCCTGATTATAGTATTTATGCTGCTGTTGTTGTTAGGCACCATTGAGGTGGTTCTGACTCATCGCGACCCTATGTACAAAAGAACAAAATATTGCCTGGTCCTGTGCCATCCTCACAATTGTTGTTATATTTGATCCATTGTTGTTGCCACCATGTCAATCTATCTGCTTGAGGTCTTTCTTTTTCTTGCTGACCCTCCACTTTACCAAGCATGGTGCCTTCTCTGTGTTGTCCTTTCTGATAACATGTCCAAAGTACAAGTATTTATGGGGGTACCTGAAAAAGCATTGCTACTAGGGTTCCAGTTCTTATAAGCATGGGCTTATTCCAGACAAAATATGTTTAAACATGTCTTTGTGATCAGGGAATGACTGCAAACAAGTTTTCTCAGTAATATACTTGTCGTCTCCTTAGGGTACCTTCAAAAATCCAATCAAAACAATGACTTCCAAGGAGATCTCTTGGGCCAGTTAAATTCAAGGCAGAGAAGTTATGGCAACTGTTTTTTGGGACTCCAAAGGAGTCATCTTGATAGGTTTTCTTGAAGGACACAGGGGCTTATAACGAAGAAGTTTTAAGAAAATTGAAACTGTATTGGTAAGAAAAAGGCTCAGAAAGGTGTTCTGAAAAAACTTTTTCTATCACATCAATGTACCTGATCATTCTTCAAGGGTAACAAGGGATGTCCTATGAGAATTTCAATGGGAAACCTTACTCCATCTACCCTAAAGTCTTGATCTTGCCACTTTAGACTTCTTTTTGTTCAAGAAACTCAAAGAATATTTCAAAGGAATACAATCTGAGTCCCTTGAGGATGCCAAAACTTCATTTTGATGTGGTGTAAATCAAAGAGGCCTGAGTGTTTTGTGGGAAGAGTTACGAGATGGAAACATTGCTTTCAAAAGTATATAGACCTCCAAAGTATGGTGAGACCTGGGGACTCCTGAGCCCATGGACAAGGACATAGCCACAGAGGGCTATAACTGAGAGTGAAGCATCCAGATGATATGAAGTGAGGGGAGATGCACAAGAATGCCCAAACTTGTAGATACACCCATTCGACCTAGC